AAAATAAAAAAATAAAAAAAAAAATAAAAAAACACATCATAGTAAAATTAATACCTTCTCAGCTTCGCATCGAAGCTAATAAAATCAAAATATCAATGACTACCAAACACTGTTTATATTAAGAAATTATTTTACCTTAAAGATATTCTCCTAAGATAAACAAACTTTGCTTTAAAACTCTTTCATTCTAAATTATGTTAAAAACTTTACATTGATAGATGCTCTTTAGTATGATCTTCTATTTATAATTAATTGATTTATCGAAAACAAAAAGTACTGAATGCTACCAAAAAATGTTGTATTCAGGGGCTACTAAAGAATTAAATAGTCACAATGGCGTAAGCATATACTAAATGATGTAAAATTAAAACAAAGTAACTTTACTAGCCAACTTTATATGCTTAATAGATGATAATTGAAACTAAGAATAAATACAGCGTTCAAGAGCTTTTTCAAAGCTTTAATTATAACCCATCTACTGCTAAACAAATTAATAAAGGTATAAAAACTCTTAATCGCAATCATGCTTCTTCATAAAGTCAGTAATTTTACAAATTTTGACATTTCTTTTGGTACTCCACTCCATTTTTTCTTTATTATAAAAATATAATATTTTGATTTTTAAGATCACATTTAAACAGAGGCGCACAGCGTTTCTAAATTTGACCTTGAACCTTTAAATTATATTCCCTATAAAAACCTTTGTTAGATTTTAACCTATTATTTTTAAAAATATATTAAATATTTAAATTGTAACAATTATATTTTAAGAAGACAAAAATAATTGAACTGTTTATTTTTATAGGTACTTTGTTATTTTAAGAATTTCAACACTTCATTATAAACTTATCAAATGTTTCAAAAATCGTATGAAATCTTTATAAATTTTTCATTAATACTATAAATTATTAATCAATTGACAAATAAATTAAAACTTATTTAACAAATCATATTTTTTAAATATAACATTATATAATATTCATTATATACAGTGACGGTACATTTATATTTTATATACTACACTACTGCTAATAACTAGATATGTTAGCTAATTAATTAAACATATAATGTTGTTAGGGCGTTATATAAGACGCATATTTTTATGTATTATTTTTAAAAATATATTAAATATTTTAGTTGTAATACTATCTTATATCAATACTTCATTTAAACTAATCAAATGTTTCAAAAATTGTTTGAAAACCTTATAAACTTTTCATTAATACTTCAAATTTTTAATTAATTTACAAATAAATTAGAACTAAAATAATTCATTTTATTTGTTATATAGTGATGGTACATTTCTATTATATATACTACAATACTGCCAATAACTGGATATGTTAACCTAATTAATTAAACATAAAATGTAGTTATAGCGTTATTAATCAAATGTTTTTATAACTGTATTCTATTAAAAAGTTTTTTTTTTAGTAACCTTTTAAAAATTAATTATTAATACTCAAATTAAAAGTTTTTTGCTTAGAAATTTTTTTTAGGTTACTCCTATAAATAAAGTTAATTAATATCACACGCTAGCAAGAAAGTTTTGAAAATGTATTCAGTATAAAGTTGAAGAAGTATAGTTATTGCTTAACACAAATTATCATAAGGTTAGTACTTATAATGTTAATAGATCAAAGAAACTATGGTATTATATTTCGTTCATTACAGCTTTTAAATTCAGAATTTATATGTTCATCTTTTAGCTTCGATGCGAAGCTGAGAAGGTATTGGTTTTACTAAGATGTGTTTTTTTTTTTATTTTTATTTTTTTTTGTGTCTGTTACCACTTTTTCTCAGCTCTCACCAAACCGATTTCTTTCAATGATACGTCAAAAGATCACAAATCGTATCTAGTCGAAGACATTACCCTCAAAAATTGAAAAAAATTCCCTCGTTTCCCGTAAATGGGGGAAGCCTCCGAAAAAATTACAAATTTAAAAATGGCTAATTTTCGAAATTTTTTCAATTTTTTTACTAAAAACTGCCGTAACTTTTTTAAAAATAAACATATCAATATAATTCTTTTTTTTATAGATGCATGATGTCATTACCTATCATTTGGTATATTTTTTTTATAAATCTGACTTTATTTAAAATGACAACTTTTTTACAAAAAATTAATTTTTTCAACTTAACTTTTGAAAGTGTTCCGGAAGGTCTGACACTTTTATATATATCTTAAATTAAAGCTAATGTAATATCCTTTATTATGAAAAAAAAAATATGACCTCTGGACTTGTCTTCATGGTGAAAATGGCTACCAAATGCTATTTTTGTGTGAAAATTCTCGATTTTATAATTTACATTTTTTACTTTAAATTGCTATAACTTTTTAAAAAATGTATAGATCAATACAATTTTTTCATGAGAATTAGTATTTATATACATCTTTCATTCGACATACTTGTTTTTTAATCGGGTCATTTCCCTTAATACAGGGGGGATTCAAAACATAAAAATGCATATAGAAAGTAGAACTTTTTCAACTTAACTTTTGAAAGTGTTCCGGAAGGTCTGACACTTTTATATATATCTTAAATTAAAGCTAATGTAATATACTTTATCATGGAAAAAAAAAATTTCGGACATTATTTTAATTTACTTAATATTTAAAAAAATCAAAATAACTATTTTTCAGAATAGATTAAAACAGTTGATTTCAAAATCCATTAATAATTTCATACAGTAAATCTTTTTTAGTGTATCAAAGTTTGTATAAATTTTGGATTTATTTTTGTTACCAAATTATGATCAATTTATGAACAAAGGGATATAAGTATATTTAAAAAATTTCATCCTAAATGTTGGTTGTTGCCAAAGATTTTTCCCATGAAAATTAAAATAACTTTTATAAGGACTCAACTACTTGGTGTCGGCCACCCTTGTCCTAAACTTCCACTTGACACAATCACCGACATCATCTATGCTCACATCAGACGTCCTCATATCGCATTTAATACATTCCTCCATATCTTTTTTGGTTTTCCTTTATCTCTTCTTTTTTCAACATTGATTTCTGTAACTGTTCTTACAGCTTCCGATTCCTCTCTCCTCATAACATGCCCAAACCCTCTAAGTCATTTTTTCTCATCTTATCTCCGAATGACGCTACACTTATACTCTTTCTCATGTATCTACATCTGCAAACAGCATTCATAATAATTCACGATTTGTACCAATTTAAATATTATCATTATATATATATATATATATATATGTATTAACTTTAAATAAGTAATGTGTTTAAATTAATCCTTTTTATCAAATGGAAATTTAATAAAATTATTTGATATAAGTGTTTCTATAGTAATTTGATAATCATTTACTTATTGTAACATACAAATATATAATTAAAGTAATTGAATAACAAAATATTTTAAATAAAAAACTAAATTATTATATGTATCTGTGAATTTTAGAAACTTAGTTTAATTGCTAGCTATCTTATATTGTTCATATTATCAAGTGACGCGACCATTTATTTTAAACGAATTAGAATGTTATTTTTAATGACATTTAAGTTAAGTCTCTTCAATTCTAGTTTTTTTATGTAGCAACCAAGGAGGGTTTATTTTTTTTAGATAACCTATGTTTTTTTTTTTTTTAATTTTGGGGAGTAAAAAAAAGGGTAATACACCTTCGTAGTTATTTTCTAGTTTTGCAATTGCTTTTATGAAATAGGTAAAATTACACTTAGAATAATGAAATTCAAAATGTGTGTATTGTATGTCTACTTTTGCAATATTACACTTCTGTTTACATAATCAAATATTTATTATTTATATCTAATATTTATAAATGTTTTCAGATAACAAACGAATAAACGAAATTTTTCTTTAAAACTTTTCTATAAAATGGCTATCTTCAAAACTTAAAAAAAATTTTAATAAAAAATATAATTTTTAAAATATTTTTTGTAATTGCAAAAAATAACATAAAACATATTTTAAATATAGTTCTATATTGTAAAAATTGATTAAAAAAAAATAGTATAAAAAGTTATGTAGATCATAAGTTGTATAAGTTGTCAGTTAGATCTGTTCCACTCTGTATATTTAAGAGGATAGAAAATTATTGGATTGATTTATGAAAATTTGCTTTTTATTTAATTACAATTATTGACCGAATTTGAAATTCAAAGTTATTTTATTATTATTATGTATATGTAAATATATATTTTCTTAATTTATCTGAAACCGTACAAGATGAAGTCAAAAGTACAATAATAAAAAAAAATTAGCTATTTAGTTTTGATAATTGAAAAGTCTGTAGAGTTAGGTTTGATGACATTCATTTTATTACTATTTTTATTAGAATTTTCCTTTCATTGTGTGATTTACATTTACATGGCGTTATATTATTAACATTCACGTATACAGTTTTTATTGATAATTGTTTTTTTATCATTTTTTTTTTGAATTTTAATTGTGTAATGAACATTAAAATATGGCTTTATTTTAATACAGTGAATCTAACACATCATTTTCATTAGTAGTTGAAAATGTATTTACTTTTAATCGTGTATTTCATTTGTTGTTAACAAACACGTTCACGTCTTTACATGGCGTTANAATAAAAACTTTTTTTTTTATTATTAATTTTTTTTAGTAATTTCTTCTCTTTGTATGGTTCTCATTTCCGTTTAGTCAAATTTCTTTCCAATCAGCTTTTTTCGTCGAGAGAAAGATATAACACTCTATTTAGTTGAGCCATTTTGATTAAATGATTTTCTGCTCTGTATGGGCTTTTATTCTTTTAATTTGTGGGTAGTTAGTTAGTTTATCAATAAGACTATAAACATTTAAAAGAGAAGGGAAGAGAAGAAAAAAAACAAAATAACGATAGTAAGAAATTATGTTTGATATTTAGGAGGTATGGGAGGTTGTAGATCCATAACGTCCACTTTGATAAACATTGGGTAAATTTTATAAATTGGGAAAGCCATAACCATAGTTAGTAATGACAGCCAAGATATATAAATAATATCTCCTAAAAAATTGTCAACTAGTGAAACAGAAAATGATTTTAGCATTATATCTTTAAAATGTTCATAAGAGTTAATATGTTTGGTTGTATGAAAAATTGGTACCACCGAAGTTCAATTTTTATTAAGGTTTTCCGAAATATTGTTAAAATAAAATTTATCTATCGTTTCAAGGTTATCATGACTGAATTTTAGTGATTTAATATTGATCCAAAATATAGGCAATATTCTTAATATTTTTAGAGTATTATTAATTTTTTCACATGTGTACATTTTAGGAATTAAGATATTATTATTTCTTATGAATTCTTATTCACATGATGATATCTTAATCAAACCTGGGTAACCATAGTTTATTTTTAATTCAGTTTCAATATAATTGTGGTTATTACAAGTTTTGATTTTTAGATTAGGTTGAGGATTAGTTATAACAAAACTATTTACTCCTACTTGCTTAATAATAATATAGTCATTTTCTATTTGCTTATTACATTGGAAATAACAAACTTGGTTTATTTGTTCAAATGGTAAATTTTTGTAAATCGCTTCTACACATCTTGGTGAGTGTTACGTCAGCGGAAAATGTTGCAATAAAAATTAATCAGTAACCGGTGTGTCGCAGTGTTGTAACCCGACAACAGACACAAATCTTTGTTCATCGATATAAATTCTACGAATTAACTGCAATATAAGATTTTTCAAAAAAAATTAAACAAATGGAATCGTAGAATTTGAAATGAGCAGGGATATATTGAAAAATTTCCATATTGAATTACTTTCTTTGATGGGAATTTTTATTTTTCATAATAAAGAGATTACTCACGGTGCTCCCGAGCTACTCTCTTCCTTACAATTTATTCCATTTCGTCTTAAATACTAAAATATTTTGTTTATTCTTTTTTACGGATATAAAGTTCATAATATAACCATTTTCATAAATGTTTATAAATATTTACTTCCTGATCTAGTAACAATAGATCAGGAAATTACAATTAAGCCAAATATTACAAAAATGTTTTACTTCCAGCTTTAAAAATAATAAACTATATTATTTTAATAAAATTATATTCATTTTAATAGATAAAAATTTGAATTTTTACAGATTTCAATTATTTTCAACAGAATGTTAGATAAAAATAATGCTGAAAAATACATCTTTAATATACCATTAGCATTATTGCTCGGTCAATATTATATATTAAATCCAAAAAGTTCAAAATTATTTGGATACAATATTTTGCATATAATTTTTGTAACGTTTGTCGCTATAGTTTTTGTAGTATTTACATGTACATTTCCAATAAGTCTTTACATTTTGATTAATGACACCAATCAGTTGGCCATGGAAATATTTTCAGTGATTAATGTAACATTTAGTTGTTGCAAAATTGTGACTATTATAAGAAATTCAACCCGATTATGGAATTTGCTAGAAGTAACTCGAATAGATTTCATTATTAAAAATGGATCTAATTCCCTTCAAAAGTGCAGAGTCAAGTTGATAAAGTTCACATACACTACTTTTCTGTTCTATATGATGCAATTATTGTGGATATATTTTACTTATCTAAACAGACATAATTTTCAAAAGATTAAATTCAAGGGTAATATTTATAAAGAGTATAAAACCAATTTTTTTCAATTATATATGCCAGTATCAGAATACTCATATAACATCAAATACTTTAAATATATTTATATATTCGAATTTGTAACTGCATTTAATTTTGTATACTTCACTACATTTTTTGATATGATTGTTATGCCCATATGCATTTGCCTATCAGGTCAACTAAGTGCAATTGGAGAATCTTACAGCTCAGTTGGTCATCGAGAATATGGTTAATATTTATTTTTTATAAAAATAAATTTGTTATTATTTGTATTTAATTTAAAGTAATAATTAATCAAATATTTTATAAATGACGACATTTTATTTTAAAATAACTTATATAAAATTGTCTACTTCTATTTTGTTCTTCAATATTCAAAATAAATTTATACTCAGTAAATTTTAAAAAAAAATTGAAAATAAATATTTAAAATATATATATTTTAGAAAATTATGATTTTAAAACTTCAAACACAAATTATAATGAAATCAAGAACTGTATTGTACACTATCAGAAAATTTTACAGTAAGTTATAATTTTAAATTAAATATATAAAGGAATAAATCATTTAATTTTAAGAATTTCACTTTTTGCATTGATACCTGGCTTTGAAAATTAAACAGTTTTAGTTAGAGATTTTAGATCTGTTATCAATAATTTACATTATTGGTTAAAAAACGAACCTTCTTTATATTTATACTAACAATAAATTCATAAAACCAGTCAAAAACGGTTAATAAAATACAATTTCAAAAATGATTTTTACGGTAATATTATATCACTAGTTAGGTATAATATAATGAATAACTAATAAGTTATTTTAGTGATTATTATGGGTAGATGGCTTATTATTATTTTATATATAATTATAATTTTTTTAAAACCGATTTTCATAATTAGTTTATTAAAAATAGCTTGTTGTTTTTAATAAAATCTGTTAAGATTTGATAATAATCTAGCTATTTTTTTAAAAATTACAATTTTAAAATACAAATGTAATTTGTGATTTATATTATTTTCGACGACTAATAAATTTCTGCTGAGAAGGTATTGGTTTTACTATGATGTGTTTTTTTTTTATTTTTTTTTTTTTTTTGTCTGTTACCACTTTTTCTCAGCTCTCACCAAACCGATTTCTTTCAATGATACGTCAAAAGATCACAAATCGTCTCTAGTCGAAGACATTACCCTTAAAAATTGAAAAAATTTCCCTCGTTCCCCGTAAATGGGGGAAACCTCAAAAAAAATTACAAATTTAAAAATCGCTAATTTTCGAAATTTTTTCAATTTTTTTTACNATTAAAAAATCCCTAATTTTTGAAATGTTTTCAATTTTTTTTACTAAAAACAGCCGTAACTTTTTCAAAAACGAACATATCAATATAATTTTTTTTTAAATAGATGCTTGATGTCTTTACTTATCATTTGATATATTTTTTTTGTAAATCTGTCCCTTAACCTGCCCACAGGGGGGGATTTAAAATGACAACTTTTTCACAAAAAATTAACTTTTTCAAGTTAACTTTTGAAAATGTTCCGGAAGGTCTGACACTTTTATATATATTTTAAATTAAAACTTATGTAATATACTTTAATTTGAAAAAAAAAATTTGACCTTTGGACTTGTCTTCATGGTGAAAATTTACATTTTTTACTTTAAAGTGCTATAACTTTTTAAAAAATGTATGGATTAATACAACTTTTTCATGAGAAATAGTATTTATATACATCTTTCATTGGACATACTTCATCTTCACAAGATATTAATAAGGAATCAGCAGATCATGTAGCTTTTGGAATAAAACACCAATTTTTTTTAAATTAAACACTATCTAAAGATTTGCATCGAAGCGTTTTTTTTTTATAGTGATTTTAATCACTGTCAGATATCATTATACTTGATCCAACTATACCACGGCACCACTGTGCCCGACCCCCCTGTGCTGGGTTTTTCAACTTTTTTTTTATAACATGGATCCTGGGACAATGTGACCGAGTCGGTAACGCAGCAGTGCTTCACTCACTGTCAATGGGTGGCTTCATTTGCCAAATGAGAGACCAATACATATGTGTTAAAACATATTTANGTTCGGTATTGGAGTCTCCATCCCTCACTCCAGCTATGGACTAACCACCCGTACCGGAATATCAATCGTTTAGAAACCTCCTCCTTTTCGGTAGGCTGCTATGGCCCTTAATGGTTTATAAAGCGTAAAAAAACATGGATATTATACAAGAATACAAAAATCAATAAGCTTTATTTTAATAAAATATAATTAAAAACCTAATATAAAAAAGGATTTTAATGACCCGCTTGATTGTACGTATAAAAATTGTATTCAACTCAATTTTTGAAAATGTTCAGAAAAGTATAAGCTTAAGGATTTTAGAAATTTCCAATACATATGTGTTAAAACATATTTAATCATATTTGAATGAAATGTTAAAACATAAAATTTGTAAATTACAAATATACATACATTTGAGAAATTGTACACATTCATATTGAAGCCCTTTTTATGATAGTGTTGTTACTCTTGTCAGATAACTAACACACACTATATAAATTTTCATATAGTCTGTGCGTGTTGTGTCCCATCTAAGATGAGACACGGTAACGTGTTGGAGTAGATAAAGTTGTATTGTGAAATAAAAGTAAAAGGTTCCTAAATTTTAGAAATACAATTATTTATAACTATAACATTAATTGTCTTTAGGTCAATCACTTATATGTCATAACACAATGTATTTATACAACGGTTCGAACGCGATTAATTATTGCTTATTCGTTATCGAATACTAATTATTCCCTAACCCAACTACACTAATATCATAAAAATACGGGTTTGTAATAGTGCGTATACTTGTTCAGATTATATTGCGATAGTTTGTGCTGTAATTTTTAATATTATTTATTATTAATTTTTTTTTTTTAGGAAATTAAGAGGAGTTTATAAATTATTTTACTGGATAGTTGTAAGCCAATTAGCAGTAGGGTCATGTACCTTTGTATTTTTGGCATTATTAATTTTAAATGTACGGTAAAAATTTAATGAAAAGGATAAAAAATTTTACATTTTTTATATTATATAAATTTTAATAATCAAAAAATTATTTGCCACAGAATTTTTATAATAGCAAAGAGTTAGTTAATGCTCAACACTTCTCAACAATTAAGATGATTATGTCATTTGTTGGTTTTTCATACCAATACTTTTTTATATGTTACTTATTTGGAAATGTGGATGAAAGTGTAATATTCAAATTGATTATTTGTTTAAATTATTATTAATAACAATATGTGTAATTTATTGTCATTTTACAATAAATCCAACGATTTTTTTTCAGAATGAATCAATAAACTTCTCAATATATAGCAGTAATTGGACCGAAATGGATTTGAAGAGTAAAAAACTCATTTTATTAACAATGATAACGAATAATTCTAATAAAAAATATATGAGAATAACCATCCAAAAGAATGTTAACGTGCAGTTTTTCCTAGTAGTCAGTAAATTAAAATTATCAATATTTTTTACTATAACAAAATCTATCTTAGGTATAACTACTATAAAACTCAACGTCTGACAATTCATTTTGCAATATATTCAATACTATTTAAAAAATATTCCGGAAATATTGTGTCCTTTAAACATATGTAAAATTAAAGGTTATGTTAAGTACTCTTCTTCATTTTTCCTTGCCAACTTTTTGGTGTCGGCCACTCTGGAAATGGCTGCAATAATTAAAAACATTTTCGATTTCCGATTTTAAGTTTTCATTTTTAATTGCTATAAATTCTCAAACAATTTATACATTTTTTGAAAAGTTTTCAACACAAATTTTTGTTTCTGAATACTTTTATTATATCTCTTTAATCCGAAATACATTCTTTTTATCGGACAATTAACCCTTTACAGGAGGCGTTCGAAACTAAAATATTATAAGTTCTGATGAATTTTTAATTTTTTTTTTTTTGTCATTCTTCAATACAAAATTTTTTAATTTCTCGCTTTTTTTTCTAGGTTGGAAAAAAATCTGGTGGGTCTTTTTTTGACAATTTTTTTACCAGTTTTCTTTGTACTTAAAAAAAAATTGTTTTCATTTAAAATAAGAAATAATGATTTATATTTTTATTGTAATCAATATTTAAAAATATAAAAGTTGAAAAACACAATATTTTAGCTCTTAGCTCCAAGCTCTGGAATGTAGAAGCTATAGGTGATATATTTATTTTTTAATCAAGCTGATCTACAAAGTAAAACTTTTTTTGATAGTCAAAGACAAAAAACATACTTTTCTAAACCAATATTTCGTGCTTTCTTAAATCTGCAAATGAATTTTTCTATCTCCACTAAGATTTGAGATAGTTACTGGCACGACTTGTGTCGCAATAATATAGTCGACACTGGTTTAGATGTTAGAGATTCTTTGGGTTGTTATTATTGATAAATAACAACAGGTTATTTTTAAAAAAAATCTGACAAGACGAACGCATTTGATAATTATCTTCGAATAATATCGCGGCACGAGCTGTTCTGCATGGACATCGGACGTCTAAAGTTAGCAGTGTTGATGGCTACAGTGCTCTGATGTGATATCGCTTTTTCGTGTCCGGTAACACGACATGTTCGAAGCCGATGACGTACATCCTCACTCCGGTGACGTAAAGAATACTTAACGTCTTAACTTTAAGCGAGTAGTCATCGGCCGTGCAGCACTTGCTGGACTTTGTACTGAGGTGTAGGGCACGCGGTGTTGGTCAGTCAAACTGCCATAGACACGTATACAATGATTATCACATTTCAATGCTTATACAGATACCACTATGCCCTGTTTTCACCGTATTAGAATATTAATTAATTAATCATAATTATTTTTCAGATGGTGCGAACATGTTACTCGATTATTTCTGTTTTAATAAAATACAAAAATGCATCATCGTTATGAAGTCGTTTTCTTAGCAAATAGTAGTAAATATTATAGAATTTTACTTTTTGAATTTTATATTTATAAAAAGTGATACTAGAAAGTTGATTAAAAATATCATTAGTTTTATCTGAGCCTAGATATTTGTTAAATTAAACTATTATTTAAATAAAACCACAATGTAATTTTAGTTTTAATTTTAATTAACGAACTTTTGAAGTCAATATAATATTATTTTTTTGTTCTTATTGTTGAACCTGTGATTTCATATCATTGATATGAAATTGAGTATGCATTGTTTTACAATGATATCCATTTTTTTATATCTGTCCATTAAAATTCACAGCTCTCATTCGACAGATTTTATTGGTTTATGCACTGATATAACTCAATTTTAAACTATCACTGTTGAAAATTGAAAAAATTGTCTTTAATTTTATAAATTTACAAAAATATACCAAAATTACTTTATCCTAAAAAATTGCATTTTCGACATTTTTCTGTATTTTAAAATTGCTATAATTTTTTTTTTTTAACAATGATCCTAATGAAATTTTAAGTGAATATACAAGAATCAATAAAATATCTTTTAAGTAACAGAACCTTACAAAAAATTTTTTATTTTTTTTAATAGTTTTTAAAATCAGTTATAACTTTGTCATCATGCATGTCTATATGAGTAAGTGGAAGTTTAGGATAAGGGTGGCCGACCCCAATTAGTTGGGATTAAGGCGAGGAAGAAAAAGTAGAAGAAGAAATAAAGTGTAAAACTCGAAAAAATAAAATTTAATAAATGTTTATTTTTATTTGAAATAGGCTTTTTCGCTTACTTTGATCAAATTGTGCTACATTAATTAAATAAATTTGAAACTAGCTAAATTTTTATTTTTTTTTTGTAACAAGCATCTTCGTTTGGATGATCAATTGTTCGGCCATTTCAGCTTTGCATCGAATCTAAAAGAATCAATAAATTTTTTTGAAACAAAGCGTTTCATTAAGTTCGTTTAATTGCTTTAATCACTCCGGAATCATAATGTTCGGTAGAGAATGCCTTTAGCAAAGACCTAGTGGACCAGTTATCACAAACATTGTTGATTATAATATATAGTGTGACAGCTGATCTCTAGTGTCCTTGCTTTACTCATTCCCTTGCTCACCCAGCACAGCAAATCGATGACCTACGTTTAATTTTCATCCGTGTACAGTTCATCATCAAACGTCAGTGAGTCAATAATTTTATGCGTCATTTTTTTTTTTAACAAACACCTTCGCTTGGATGGTCAAATGTACGCCATAATGTTTATTATTTATTTGTTGCACCCCTGTGTTCAATGTTTTCATGGCCATGCACGTCTCCAGTAATTGGGCCCTGACCATCCTGTATAACTTCACTGCCGTAGTCGCTTTTCCACCGTCAGTTTTCATCTACTATTTCGAGTCTGCATCTACACTTTGATTCGTGATACTCAAATATTCGACATCATTACCACAATATCTCACACAGTCCGCTCACCACTATCAACAACTTCATTTATAAAGTTGAGTTTTTTATTATTATTTAATGTTGCTTATAATTTTTGACATTGAGTTATTGGTTTTCTTTAATCAATATAGATTACATATACTGGGATCCCGGCGGTATGACAATCGTCACCGAAAGCGGTACTCCCATAGGCAACGTCATTTTTACATCATCACTAATGGGCCCCTCATTGTTATGAGAAAAATAGGTGATGTCACTATCGACACCTTTGAGGGCCAAAACACATTATACCATTACTACTATTGTAATAAAATATAGCATTAAAATGTCACATAAATTATAAAGCATGTTCTACTCCACATTCCTGAAGTAGATATAGCTATGAGTAGGTGTCTCTTTTTGCTTCAGCTAATTTAGGAGAAGAGATAATAATACAAAAATTAACCTAATAATATATCTTTATAATTTTTTAAGAGATATTATTTATAAATCTGGCTTTCTTTGTTAATTTTGGTCATGACTTTCTCAATTTATAAAATTTACCCAATGTTTATCAAAGTGGACGTCATGGATCTACAACCTCCCATACCTCCTAAATATCAAATATAATTTCTTACTATGGTTATTTTGTTTTTTTTCTTCTCTTCCCTTCTCTCTTAAATGTTTATAGTCCTATGGATAAATTAACTATAACTACTCACAAATTAAAAGAATAAAAGCAGAAAATCATTTAATCAAGATGGCTCAACTAAATAGATGTGCTTTAAAAGCGTGTTTTTTTAAACTATATTTATTTTGCACTTTTTAGTTTCATGTTATGATAGTAGTTACTATCAATATCTTGGTTGTAATGGGTAACGGGAAATCATGGTTCAATTCCGGGGAGGGAGTCTGAGAAACGGCTACCACTCCAAGGAAAGCAGCAGGCGAGAAAATAACTCACTCCCGGAACGTGGAGGTAGTGACGAAAAATGACGATACGGAAATCATCCCTCGTAATCGGAATGAATACTTTATATCTCTTAATTTGTGTTAGCCAACGGGCTCCTACGATGACTGGTAATAATCAACACAGAAAAAACAAATGAATTAAACAAATGTTTACCCAAATATAAAATAAAAGAGATTGATATTCGTACAATTATTATTTGTATATATCATAGAAAAATATGGTATCTTGTTCTGTTTATAATAAATATACTAAATAAATATCAATAAATATAATGGGCGTCCCCAAGTACAAATATAGTAACAATTAATAAATTAAACTATAAATAAATTTACATACAGTAATATCATAGGACTCAACTCGTTCAATCTACTGATTTGAATGTCTTCCCTGTGGTAGCTTCAACTTTGACAATAACGGTCTAACAATCACGGAATAAACCGGTGTTCAAGCTTTCACTAATAATTCCAAATTTAATAAGACTACAACTTTTAACTAAGTCTTTCACGGCTCTATTCAATAGGTCGGATAACAACAATATTGTAACAAAGGGAAAAAAAACACGCGTACGTCGATTACTTAAACGGTATTATAACACCATATAGCGCACAGTCACATGAACATATGTCAACCATAGCTAATCAGCCGACAGACTCCTTGACCGTGGAACTTTTTGGCCTGGTGTTGTCAAAGGCCGCAGTATATACTTTCACGGTCAAATATTACCACCACTACCTCCGTGTTCAACCGGTACACGTTATCAATACCAGCTGATGAGGAAATAACATGTGCTGTTTTGAAAAATTAGAATAAAGCGTGTTAATATATAAATTTTAATAGTAATTAGAATACATATATATATATTAGGGTGGTCCTTAATGTATAGAAGCGGAATTTTTTTTATCAAAATTTGATCGGGCTACCCCCAGAATTTGTTCAAAACTATAAAAAAATAATTTGTGTCAAATTTCATTAATTTTGTTCCGTGTTTCTTGAGGCGTGCCTCAAGAGGGTTGAAAATTCAATCATCAGGGTAGTTTTTCAATAATTGTAGTTTATCTCAAAATTTATGACTTTTATATAAAAGTTTATAAGAAAAAAATTGTAGATATGAATATTTTACATAAAAATTTATTACTGAAAATGTCATAAATCAAATATTTACCTCGCAAAAGTTAAAAGTTCAACAAAATTGAATTCCTAGTAATATTTTTTCAATTTTTTTTTTTTTTTTTAAATTACCGAGTCTCGGAAATCAAATTGCCCACCTTCATTGCTTTCCTCCTGAGTCCCTAGTACCGTTTCACAATTTTTTTCGATTGGTAAATACAGTGCGTGTCTACGTCACTTGCCGAGGACTTGAAAGATAGCTTGTCTATACGGAACACCTGAACTCATAAGTCATCGAAACATTCGTTCAGACTTAATCATCAGTGAGCGTATCATAATGTTTACACTATTAAAAGTGTAGCAATTGAAATCGTTTTTACTAATTTGTATAAATGTAAATTAAATTTATAAAATTTAATTATAATATAAAATTTCTTTATGAAACTCAGACAAATTGTATTATTCCTTGAATAACAAATATTGTTACATAAAAATAACGTTATTCCGGATTATTTTAGTGATAAAAATAAAGTTATCAAGTTACCATTTAGAGTTAAGAAAAGTTAAATTGCCAAAATAAAAATCTTCTTACTCGAATTATAGAAAATACATTTTTTTTATTATAATATACTAACGGTCCATACCAACATAAAAAATACTCCATGACTGATAAATTGCATATTATCTTAAAAAAAAATGTTTAATTCTAATATAATTTTTATTTTACAAGAAATTAAATGGTTTAGAACAAGAATAAATATCTGATCAAATTAGAATAACTGATAAGACTGATAATTAATCATTACTTATAAGAAAAATATTCATATAATAAATATGTCATCCCTTTATATTTTGTTAATTTCACGTGAGTTTATAACTAATTTGTCTACCTTAAAATTTTTGAAACTTATTTATGTCGATTTATACATTTTTGTATTTCAATATCTCAAATACAATTATAAAAATATAATATGCAACAATAAAAAAAAATTTAGATAAAGAAAATGAAAATTTTACAAACTTTTACAACAATAAATATAATTTTAATTAAAATTTTTCTGGCTAAAAGTTTTAATGGCCAATATATTTTTCGTTTTACATAATGCAAAAGCGATTGTCTATTCCAATTTATTTGTTTTTATATAAATTTTTCTTTTTGTTTCCATGACTATAAATTTATATTGTTTAAGTTAATATTTTTTAACAGTCACGGGCGATTTAGGTGTGACACGGACATTTTCTTAAGCCTGAAAACCCCACAAAAGTTGCCCAAAACCTCTTTAATATTTGATTTTTTGTAGTCACATATTTAATTTATATCTCTGCACGAAAACTGAAACATGAAAAACAAAACCAAAAAGACTATAAGCCATCTAAAAACTGGACATAGAAAATCAAATTCCATTCTCGTCAACATACGTTCAAGTCCTCATTATGTTGGCAAACGTCCAAGTAAACGTAAAATTATAAAATTTTATAAATATCTTTTAACATTTTATGATGACAAGGATACAACGATTCAAAAGCCTGAAACTTCCAAGACGTTTCAATCAAAAAATACACTTAATGTTGGCCATGTTAAGAAAATTACTAAAAAACAAACAACTGTCAATAAAAGACAAATAAAAAATTCTGATGCGTTAATTTTGAAACGTAACAATCAAACTCGCAATAAGTCAAACGCTAAGATATCTACTAAAAACAAATCAAATTCAATTAATGTGGAAATACCATCCGAAGCTGTCAAACATATGAGTAAGATTAATTTATTTTATATTAATATATTTTAATATACAATTTATATATTTTACATAAAATATTTATAATTTTTGATTCAATAGATCCGATTGTATTGATCGAAAGAATTACACAAAACATTATAGACTATTATGTGTCTAGTAAAAAAACTAATGCAGACGAAATAGTAAATAATTCTGGTGAACATGATAATGTAAGAATTAACAATTCTGAAACCCACAAGATGTATCGAAAAAAGAATAGAACTCCTGTCATCGACATCAACATACGTTTAAATCCTCATTATGTTGGCAAACGTCCAAGTAAACGTAAAATTATAAAATTTTATAAAGATCTTTTAACATTTGATGAAGACGAGGATTCAAGGATTCAAAAGCCTGAAACTTCCAAGACTTATCAATCAAAGAAGAGAGCTCATCTCGACGACGTTAACGATTCACGTAAAAAACTTAGACTAACAAATAAATATGAAGACAAAGTAAATAATTCTTATACTCTTAATTCAAATCGTAAGAATAAAACTCCTGACGTGTCAAACGTCGAGATATCTACTGAAAACAAATCAAATCCAATTAATGTGGAAATACCATCCGACAAAGTCAATCATATGAGTAAGTGTCATTTTTTTTATAATAATATACACATGTGCATAGAATGAGTGGGTAAAGTATGTCAGCTGCATCACATTCTTGATATTTTGTGTCTTGCTAATATTGCAATTTAAAACACTATACGGCCTCAATATGTATTGAAAATTTAGACTGGGGAAAAAGCCTAGTTGTCTCCACCCAAATGACGCCTTTGTTTTTCTTATAAAAAAAAAATCCAAATTCCACTGTTAGAATAGATATAATAGTTTAATAGTAACAGCTAATCAATCATTCATTTTATACTATTATTAAAAATATATAAATAATATATTTTTAAATTTTGTATTAGTGTATTTTAGAGTTATATTTTGTTTTAATGTTTCAAGTAATAAATTAATGAAGTATATTTCATAGAGCTTTAGTTTTTAATAATTAAATTTAGTCTAATTAAGTCACTTAATTATACATATAACACTTAAACCATAAAATAATCTAACATTTAACTAACATTTTGGAGGGTGCTAATTGGATTTTCATCTTACCCCAAACAATTATACAGAATGTCCAACTAGGTTAGACATATTTTATTATTTTTGATCAAATAATAATTTCGTTGAAATAATAACTTAATATGTACTTGTCCTAAAATTATCATCGACCCACAAAATTTTTTTGTAAGATAAGGCTGAATAATGGCTATTTTAAAATTTTGAAGAAAATAAAATTTCAACAAAATTATTGTTGTATTATAAGTTATAAGTCATATCAAAACATACGTAAATTAAAAAAATGTTGGGGGTAATTTTGTCAATTGAGGGGCTTAGCACCTTCTTGTTTCCTAGTTGTGTTTATGACAAGAAACCCTAAAGGAGTTCCTCGGAAACCCTTCTACACTAAGTCTATTAAGCGAATAACAAAACCGCGTTACTTTAAACATATTTTTCATTTTTGTTTTGAAAATAACATACGAATTCTTATGAAATTATCATAGTAATATTTATTTTTATATATTCTTTTTTAAAGTTCCAATGGTGTTTATAAAAANTTAATAAATAATTTATTAATTATTGATGAAGTATATTTCATAGAGCTTTAGTTTTTAATAATTAAATTTATTCTAATTAAGTCACTTAATTATACATATAACACTTAAACCATAAAATAATCTAACATTTAACTAACATTTTGGAGGGTGCTAATTGAATTTTCTTCTTACCCCAAACAATTATACAGAATGNAATTTTCATCTTAACCCAAACAATTATACAGAATGTCCAACTAGGTTAGACATATTTTTTTATTTTTGATCAAATAATAATTTCGTTGAAATAATAACTTAATATGTACTTGTCCTAAAATTATCATCGACCCACAAAATTTTTTTATAAGATAAGGCTGAATAATGGCTATTTTAAAATTTTGAAGAAAATAAAATTTCAACAAAATTATTGTTGTATTATAAGTTATAAGTCATATCAAAACATACGTAAATTAAAAAAATGTTGGGGGTAATTTTGTCAATTGAGGGGCTTAGCACCTTCTTGTTTCCTAGTTGTGTTTATGACAAGAAACCCTAAAGGAGTTCCTCGGAAACCCTTCTACACTAAGTCTGTTGGGTACGCATTACGAGAGGGCGTTTTGCTACATCGTATTTCTATAACTGATAACGTCTCTCGCGCTGCCACCACCGGTTGTACGAGGGTTCGTCATTACGTCGGATGCTAGTCTACGTGTTTATTGTGTCTCGCCGAACTATTATCGGTCCTTTTTGTGAATTTTGCGTTCTCGCCACCATTGCTAGCCCTTGCTACGTGGTTCTATGGTGTACTTAGCTCATAGTCGCTTTAATGGATTAACCACCCTAGTGATTCGTAGTGGGTATAGAATTGCTATACCAATCTATGCCATTGTGTGCCCTTCGTGTACATAACAAGTGCCTCCATTTGTGTCGACTACCCTTGCAGTCTTCAACATTTTGATGTAAAGTACTCCCCAACTGTTCATTTTTCATCAATCAAATTTTTTATTTAATTATATTTAATTATTTAATTAATAATATTAATTTTTACAAGTCAATAAATTTCGCTCAGGAGAAATTTCTTAAGTTAGAAATAATAAATCATTATCGCAATAGAAGTAGATTAGAAATGGGGGCTTATCAATTACATTTAAAACTCTCTAATTTTTTGAGTCAATCACAGTGGGACATCTTCGAGCTGAAGATGTACCAAGTGGTTGAACATAAATTTAAAACAAAAAAAGAAAAGTTAAATAAAAAATTTCAAAATTTACTTTCAGAATACAAAAATAAGGGTCAAATAGATAATTTTAATAAGAGTCCGGTAGTTTCATTTTCTAAAAACTGGGGGGACGATTTAGTTAAAAATTACACAAACATTGTTTTTTCCGTTGAAGAAACTGAAATACTTAAGTTGGGTCTTAAAACAAGTTTTTTACCAAAAAAATTTCCAATGGAAGATCTACTAGTAGGANTCCTTTTGTGTTGCTCAAAAGATTTCCCCGAGAAATTATAGACTCCTATGTGTTTAATAAAACAATTAATACAATCGAACTAGAAAAATTAGTAAATAATATTGAACTATCTAACAATGTTGATGGCATAAATAATTTTGATACACCAACTGATAATCCTACAAAGATTAAAAAGTTATATACGAATAGCTCTACAAAGAAAGTTTCTAAGAAAAAACGATCAAAAAGATCTAGATTCAATTGATGAAATCATCTAAACATTTAATTTTGATAAATCATGACCAAGCAATTTACCTTATAACTCTTACATTTTTTGCCGCAGAGACTATAGATTTAATTTAAACAAATTTTTATTGAACTATACTCTGCGGATGACTTATAATTGTTGAAAAATCAACAGTGTTGTATTATAAACAACTTTCAAGTTGGTAATAATTTTTGTGAACTTTCGTTCAAGAATTTTCAATTTAATGAATAGTTTCGTTTCTATCATTCATTTTGTACATTATTTTTGCTATTATATTTTTTATGTTGTTCTAATCATAAAAATTGTTTTTTTGAATTTCTTTTTTATTTAAGATCTAATGAATATTTTTGTCATTGGTCGTTCAATGATTACACAATGCATATATTTTTTTTATTTAAAGATTTTTTGTGCTATAAATATTTTTAATTGTTCTTTTTCAATTATTGAATTCAATTAAATTTTTTAATATATTTTTGTACTTTGGAATTTGTAATTATTTAAATAAATAGCGATAAGATAACATTTTGCTAAAATATATTTAATAAGAACAAATATGTTTTTATTTTTATATTATATAAATAATATTTTGTTTATTATATTATACTACATCATAATTAATGCAGAAAAGAAATCTAAAAAGTAATAAAAAATTAAATATATAAATATAGATATATTATTTAATTTAAAGATCTTTATTATAAAGTAATAATCAATACTTAATGAAATTTGGAAACAAAATGAAAAAAATGGGCATATTTATTTTTGCGTAGTTTTTTGCAATTATATCCTAAAGTATTAACGATAGAAAAATATATCTAATGATAAAATATTTTTTTAATTAAATTTTCAATAATATTTGTCTCTAGTACTTTTTCCATAAAACGACTCATTCGATTACAAAATAACAAAAATTCATTTCTAGAGTTTTTTATTATAGTATCACACGTTTATATTGACAAACTAGTAGATTATTTTTGTTTGTTGATTTCTACAAGGTATAAATATTATCGAAATAGTATGGTTAGATTGGACATTACCTACTTAAAAATACCTATTATTATTAACGGTGTTGATTACATGCGATATCATAAACTACAGCATTTTAGTTCATATCTTTACATCAATAATAAACGTTAACGTTTAACATTGAGGTTTCATTGAGATAATCTATAGTCTGTGTATTTTATGATTTTTTAAACTCAATTATTAATTTTCTATTTAATGGGACTAAAAGAAATTTACGAAAAAGTATTTATTTAATTGGTAATAGTTCACATCAACTCGTTGGATGTAAATTACCATCAAATAAACAAGTTTTATCGGTATTATTTTTTAATATTTGAGAAATTAATTTGAGTGTTCGTGATAGTGCGCGTTTAGTAATCGATAAAAAATTGATATTCTGGCAAAAAGCTCGAATACCTACTAAAGAAGTTCGTATTTGTTTACCAAAATTAGAGGAATTGTACAATACATGGCGTAATTTGTAAAAAAAATCAAGTCGGCGTACAAATACTCAAATAGATAAAGAAAATAAATTTGTACAATGTTTTGATGAGCTATTTGATATTGCTCATGCAGATGCATTAGACATGATGACTATTAATATAGACAAGCAGTTTTTAATAAGTCAAAAACAAAAAGGTCATCCAGGATCACTTATTGGCGTTGATGTAACTTACCAAAAAAAAGAATTTAAGCAATTTAAAAAATTAAAAGAATTTGAGATAAAAAGAAAACTTAATGAAGATGAATTCAAATTAACTAGTAAGTATTTTGAGTTATAAATAAACAATGAATAGTATAGTATTGTTCAGTCATATGCAATTTTTATTTAAATTTTAGCTAAAACTGTGGAATTCTGTTCTACAAGCGACGACACAGAAGAAGGTTTGCCTGATTATTGTGAGTTAGATTAAAATATTACGATCTATAAATTATCTACAACGATTTATACATCATTATATTCATTAATTTATATTGTTTTATAGTTGTAAACAATGATGACTTCAGTAATTTGTTTGATGGCAATGTTAAAAAAACTAAAGATCAAATATTAAATTTAGAAGATATTAATTTTTCACCGGGTCCGTCTAATAAAACTAATGTTTTGCCAATATCAAGCTCCATAAAACAAAGAGGTACAATAGACATAATGACTGTAAAGTTATCTTCAGCATTAGATAGGTGCAAAATAAGCGACCGAGACGCAGTGCACATTATAATTGCAGTGGCTGAATCATTAGGGCATGATGTCAATGATATCATAGTTAATAGGTCATCAATTAAACGACATCGTGAAAAAATACGTTGGAATTTAGCTACACAAATTCGCGACAAATTTTCTGTGTCTAATCTCAATGCCTTAGTTTTACATTGAGACGGCAAATTATTACCTGATTTATGTAGTAAACAAATAGTTGATAGACTACCTATAATTATTTCAAATAATGGAAATGACCAACTATTAGCAGTACCAAAGATGTTAAACGGAACTTCTAAATCACAGGCTGAGGCTATATATCAAACGTTGGTCGATTGGGGTTTAACAAATCACGTAAAAGCTATGAGTTTTAATACTACAGCCACTAACTCAGGTAAATAAAACAATTGTTTATTATTATCTATTTTATTCAGTCGAAGTTAAACGAAAATTATTATTTTTGTGTAAAAACTCACCGTTTTTCGTGTTGTTACTTTTACTTAAAACTATATTAACTGTTATTTATAATTTTGTATCCTTCAAAATTTAATTGAAAATATAAATAGTAATATTAATTATCGTTTAGGCAGGATTGGAGGTACGTGTGTTTTGTTAGAACAATGGTTAGAAAAAAACATTTTATACTTTCCGTGTCATCATCATATTTACGAGATTATTTTAAAATGTACATTTCACGCAAAATTTGGTGTAACTTCAGGACCGAATGTCCCCTTATTTCTTTGTTTTCAAAAGTCTTGGCCAAAAATTAATACTGAAAATTACAAGTCCGGTATCGACGATCGATTTATTTTTGAAAAATTGCAAAGTTCTATTGATCATATTTTAGAGTTTTGTTTAAATCAATTAAAACTATCCCACTTTAGAGAAGATTATAGAGAATTTCTTGAGCTAACAGTAATTTTTTTAAATGGAGTTCCGCCTAGAGGTGTATTATTTAGAGCTCCAGGAGCGATTCACCATGCTCGATGGATGTCAAAAGCGCTTTATACTCTTAAAATATTTATTTTTCGTGAAGAATTCAAGTTGACACAAAAAAAATATAATTCAATCTCGAGAATATGCATTTTCTTGGTTAATTTATACATCAAAGTTTAGTTTAATGTGCCAATTGCTGCTTTTTCGCCTCGACAAGATTTAGAATTTTTAAAAAATATTTTCCAGTACAAAACCATAGATGAAGAATTACCTAAAAATAATTTGAAAAAATTTGTTAACCATTTATGGTATTTAACTTCAGACAACATTGCTTTAGCATTTTTCGATAAACATATTCCACACGAGACAAAAACTAAAATGGCATTTAACATTAAAAGAATTGATACTGAAAATTTCGATGGGCAAGAATATTATGTCATTAAAAATAAACGCATATATTTGGACTTCAATGATGTATCAAACTTTATAAAAAATAAAAAAATAGAAGATTTTGTGATAAGTAAAACTTTAAAAACGAGGGACAAAAACAGTACATATTACAAGTAATAACACGATATCAAAAGCAATTCCCTAACAGTAAAAAAACTACACTAATGGGATAAATTATTTTTATTATTTATTCATTTTTTATTTATATTTATATAATTTATACATGAATTTGGATATTGTAAAATATTGTAATCATTTATAATGTGTAAATTTTATATTGCATTATTTATAATTATTTAAAAGATTAAAAAGATTCGTTGTCTTTTTACAATTATTTTAGAACGAAACTTATTATTTAAGTTTAAGTTTAACTTATACTTATAAATTAAAAAATTCATAACTGTTTTTTTTTACAAAAAATATGATATATTTAATTTAAAACAACTTTTACTCAAGCATTTTTTTTATAACGCAAACGCTTCATTGTATATATTAAAATTGTGAAAATTTCAGAATTTTACTCTTAAACATATATTTGGTTGAACTTTTAACTTTTGCGAGGTAAATATTTGACTTATGACTTTTTTAGTAATAACTTTTTTATGTAAAATATTCATATCTACAATTTTTGTCTTATAAACTTTTATGTAAAAATCATAAATTTTTATATAAACTACAATTATTGAAAAACTACCCTCATGATTAAATTTTCAACCCTCTTGAGGCACGGCTTAGGGTTGACCAAAATTAATGAAATTTGACACAAATTATTTTTTATAGTTTTGAACAAATTCCGGGGGTAGCCCGATCAAATTTTGAAAAAAAAAANATTAATGAAATTTGACACAAATTATTTTTTATAGTTTTGAACAAATTCCGGGGGTAGCCCGATCAAATTTTGAAAAAAAAAATTCCGCATCTATACATTAAGGACCACCCTAATATATATATACATATATTACACTAATAAATCATAAGACNGTATATATATATATACAAATAATGCGACTTAAGTACGTAAACGTATCATGCACTAGGTATAGCCGTGTTTTGTGGTGGGCGGGTCGGACTAATGTTATACCTGAAGTATAAACGACGGTAGAAATATATACGAAAGCCGTATGACATGCGGGTGGGTCAGTCAAAATAAAAATTTGTTTATACAGTAGGGTCTCGATAATCCGAACACAGGCTAATCCGAAAGATGCGGTAATCCGAACGGGCTTGAGAATTATCTTATCGCTATAATATGTACATATTTATTTATAAATAATATTTTCCGGTAATAAAATTTTTCGATTATGTTTGTACATCAGACATCGCACATGTACGTCGTTTAGATATGATACGTTAGATATGAACGTCGATTACATACATTCGTCAGTTGAGTGTCATACTGCATAAAGATCGCTTTACACTGCGTATTTGTAACATTTATTAGCGTATTTTTCTTAAAATGGCTCCACGTAAGCATGTTATATTAAAATTACAGGATAAGTTAGAAGTTATAAAATTAATTAACAAAGGGACCAGCTACAGTACAATTTTAAGACAATTTGGGATAGGTGTATCTACCATCAGTGATATTAAAAAAAAAAAGGAAAAAATAGAGAAGTTTGTCATTGAAACGGAAAATGGTCCAGGTAAGTGTAAAACGTTGAAACAACCAGAAAATCCAAATGTTGAGAATGCAGTTTTTATGTGGTTTATTTAACAAAGACGTTAACACGTTCCAGTGAGCGGTGAAATGATTTGTGAAAAAGCACGATCTTTTCAGCACCAATTCTCAAAAAATAACCATGCTTTTAATGCGTGCAAAGGTTGGTTAGACAACTTCAAAAAGCGTCATGGGATATGGCGTCTCAAAATTTCTGTTGAAAAACTTTCGAGTGTAGAGGACTGCATCAAACCGTTCCAAAAAGACTTTGAAGAACTTGTCATACAAAAAAAATTTAAAGCAGAACAAATTTACAATGCCGATGAATCTGGATTGTTTTGGCGATTGTTGCCTGACCATACTTTACTTTTATCTACAGAAAAAGCCGCTCCCGGTAGAAAGATTATGAAAGAAAGAGTCACTTTTATGCCTTGCGCTAATGCGACGGGCAGCCATAAAGTTCGTTTACTTGTTGTAGGAAAGGCTCACAAGCCTCGTGCATTTAAATCGGTTGCACTTCCTGTGTACTACCGAGGGCAGAAAAATGCGTGGGTAACAAGAGATTTATTTTTAGATTGGTTCAACAATGAATTTGTTCCTAGTGTTCGTCGTCATCTTTCTTCAATCAATTTTCCTATGGAAGCTGTATTACTATTGGATAACTGCCCAGGTCACCCATCTGCAGATGAACTTATAAGTGAAGATGGCAAAATTTTTGCGATGTTTCTTCCACCAAATACAACTGCTATGATTCAACCAATGGATCAGAATGTTATCCAAATTATAAAATTGAATTACCGAAAAACTTTACTTACGAATATTTTGGCGGATGAAGAAAACGGAGTTGACTTGGTAGCAGCTTTGAAAAAAATCAATCTTAAAGATGTTTTTTTTAATTTGGCTAATTGTTGGTTATCTGTCTCGTCACATCTGATTGAAATATCATGGAAATAACTTAGTCCACAACTGGTGGATGTGAACGAAACCAATGAAGTTCAGGGGGAAAATATTATCCTTACCCCACTTTTAGACAAGTTGGCTCCAAACACAGCCATCACTTAGGATGAAATTCAACAGTGGGCATCTGGGGGCTGCGATGAAGAGATACAGCAACAGGAAATTTTAACTGATGATGAAATCATACATGCGGTAACCAAAGAAGACATTGAGAAGGAAGAAGATGATGAATTTTTGCCCCCTTCAAAAATATCTGCTTCAGATGCCACTAAAGCGTTAAATACGGTCATACAGTGGGCTGAACAAAACGATGAAAGCTGCTAAGAACATATGTTGCTTAGACGTTTACGGGACAAGGAATACCAATCCATAATAGAAACCAGTGTACAAAAAAAAAAAATAAATCAATATTTTAAATAGTAAGGTTCATAATTACATATTCCCATAATTATATTAATATTTTTATACTTTCATTTTTATTTTATATGTTGTATATTTTATATATTCTTTTGAAATTACGAATTTTTACACGATTAATACAGATAAAAATACAATTTCATAATTTAAATTACGATAAAATTGATGTTTTTTTTTAAGCCATAAGTAATCCGAACGACCCATTTCCCCGATCTCGTTTGGATTATCGAGACCCTACTGTATATATATAATATTGATGACAAACACGCGTTTGCAGGTACGATAACCAAAAATAAATTTATATAGGAATAGTGTTTCCGTCATATGGTGGGGTGAATGCGTTACGACAGTCTAGTCTCAAGGCCATAGACGACGGAATATGCGATAACGCGTGGCGCTTGGAGAGTTACAAACATACATACATACAGGTGAAACTAATATAAGCGTGTTAATAAAACAATCATCAAAAAATAATGTATACGTGGATGTTAATAATATAACGCCATGTAAAGACGCGAACGTGTTTGTTAACAACAAATGAAATACACGATTAAAAGTAAACACATTTTCAACTACTAATGAAAATGATGTGTTCGATTCATTGTATTAAAATAAAGCCATATTTTAATGTTCATAACACAATTAAAATTCAAAAAAAAATTTCCTATTGATCATTCTTTAATTGTAAAAATTTACTTACTTAATTTTTTTAAATATGGGGACATATTTTTATTCCAACATAGGAGAATGTAATATAGTCTAGTATCTATAAATCTGGAAGTATAACATTTTATTAAATATTATAATATTTAGTTTAATTGTAACATAATTGTAATTTCCTGATCTATTTTTATAAGATATTTATATTTATATTTATAAATATTTTTGAGAATAGTTACTTTATTAAATTTATATTAGATATAAATAACAAAATATTTTAGTATATAAGACAAAATGAAATAAATTGTTGAGGAGAGTATCTCGTGAGCACTGTAGATTATATCATTTTTGTGTAGTACGTTTTTGACAATAATATCTTTACTATAGTGTATTTCTTTATTGTATTTTAAATGTATTCTTGTTTTAAACGTTTTATCTTGTTTTAATTAATACATTTGCGTCATTATTGAACTATGTTTCCTTTTCTATTATTATAAGTAAAGATATAAAGAGTTTCTCTTTAAAAACACAGCAGGGTTCTATACGATCTTATATAACGAAAAATTTGTGCTGGTAATTATTGAGTACCCCTAGTCTTATTATTCTTTTGGATTACGACTAACAGCCGGTGACATTCCCCTTAGTAATGTTACAGGAGAAAAAGTTTATTATTGAGTCTGTTAGGACTCAAATATTTTATTTATTTATAAAGCTATTAGGGTTACAACAAAGTCGTATCATCAATGGGACAGGAACACGACAAGATTGAACATTCATATGCAGTTTTTATTTAACCAGATTTCATCCTACAATTTATTTAAGTTTGTGTAAAATTTTGCACATTAATAATATTTTTCTTATGGGTAGTATGAGTCGCTATGAAAAAAAAAAAATAATATTAAAGACAATTTATGGTAATTATCTTTTAAGACCAATATCTATTATTATGATAGTTGACAAGAATAGCAACATAATTTTATTTAAAAAAAAAAAATATTAAATAAAAATTAATATTTGGCTAATAATTCATTTACAATTATAATAGAAAAGTCTTTTTAATTTTTAATATGTATTATTTGCTTGTACAGTTTTTCTACAAGAAGAAGTTATTTTTGAATAATTACTTAATTATTTACTATTTTTATAGTACATAAATGTATTTAAATTTATACTTTGTGTTTTATTCAATACTAATTATTTATTTCATTTTTATTAACCGAAAACGTATATAAAATGAATTTGACTGTAAAATAATTTAATGATATTAAATTTAAAATATTAACGCTATTCAAAAAGACCAACGTAACGTTCGTTTAAAATGACATATTGTTATATAAAATATATTGTATTTTTAACCTTTTTTTGTTATATTAATTTAAATCATTCATATAAGGTAAAAGTATTTATAATTTAAATAAATATTTTATTATTTAAAAACTCATCACATTTTAGTGCATAGTAGTTCCTTATAAATATATTTATAATGCAAACAAAATAAAAATTGACTTTGAAGTTGTTGATTCTTTACACTATTACAATCCAGTTGATGCAGATTGGAAAAGAAAAAAATGCAGCAGTCTAGGTTTTACATATAAAGAACCAAATACGAAACATGAATTTACGCCGTATACAGTACCAGTTGAATTTCACTATACTAAAATAGCTATGGCTTTAATATTGTCTGAATTAATATGCGGAGATCGAAATCTAATCTATCATTTTGCGAGAAATATAGTAAATGTAAGCTTCTCTTGTAATCTCAAAAATAAACTACCGGTGTATCATTAAAATGTTTTTATTTAATTTCATCACAGAATTTAAAATCTAACGAAGATATTGAAAAACTTTTTGAAACAAAAGAGATGTTTAAAAATTACATAGCCAAGACTACGAAAGCTGAAACACTAAGTATGATTTAATAATATTAATAAATTATATTAAAAATAAAAATATTGTATTTCCACTGTCCTGTAATATTTGAGAGATTTTTTTTTGTTAGCTTTTATTATGAAAATATTATAGCTCGACAATTACATCAGAATTAGATAATATAGTATTAATTAGCGTTATGATTTACAGAAATAATTGTTGTTAATTAGTATAATAAAAGTAAATTATGTACAATAAATTGTAATATATAATAAAGTAGTTAAATAGTACAACCAGCGCTCAATTATTTGAGAGATAAAGTAATATATTGATATAATAGTTCTGTGTAGAGAAATTTAAAAAAGTAAAATAAAAGACACATTTACTTTTATGGGTTCTGCTTCTTACTCTTATGTTTGCTGAGGTTTTTAAAATGTCTATATCTTAATGAATATCAGCGACATACTTCGTGTACTATAAAATAATTCAACTTATCTTCTTAAGTATTATTATTACAATATTTAATCTTATTTCAATTTGTCATAACATTAATAAGGATTATATATATATATATATTTTTTATATAGCTATACCAACTGACGAAGGCAAGTACATGTATTTAAATTTTTTTCATTAAATTAACCATTAGTGTCAGTAATCTTATTATAATATTATGGAGAATCGATAAGTGTAATAATAAAATATCTAACAAAAGAAATAAGTTCATCAAATATAAAATATACAGTAATAATTTCACTCTGAAAATTTATAAAAATATGTGTAAGTAAAATATAATATGTAAAACTGTAATAACTAAAAATAAGGTTAATCGGGTGGTATTAATAGTAAAGAATTATAATAGTATTATTCGTAAAGACACAATAAACATAAGTACTTTGATTTCTAGTTATTACTTGATTAGTGTAGTTAATGTGTTAAAACTACTATTACCTAATAATCCCTGACATAATGATGATAGAATTTTCGGCCGGTGATTTGAAGTTATTCGAAGCGTTTATTAAAATTAAAAGAAGATTATTGTATTAACAAGAAGAGAGGTATTTTTGATCTATAAAAGTATGTTTGTTTCTGTCGTAACACAATAAAAGAAATGAATATATGTAAAAGGTTATGATGCACGAAGATGAATATGAGGATGTGGTGCCTGCTGTCTAGGTATTCACGTGCGTGTTGTCTTACAGCAGTCACCGTGATCATCTGACACTCCGGGTTAGCTGTGGGTGTCAAAGGGCTGTTGTTATAGGAAGGGAATCAGGGTAACACCTAGGTATGAGGTGCAGACGAAGTGCAAGACACAAATACTGGGCGTACCAGATAAGGAGTATAACAAAGTACGAAGTGCAGACGAAGTGCAAGACACAAGTACTGGGCGTACCAGATAAGGAGTATAACAAAGTACGAGGTGCAGACGAAGTGCAAGACACAAGTACTGTGCAATGTTGTGGAAGAGAGTAGATAGGTTTAAAAAGGAATAAACAAAGACTTTACTTTAAGCAGTAAGCCGGACAGCGACAACCGAGTACTGAGACTGATGAATGACACAAGGCACTGGAGTCGACTGACCACGATGGTCAGGTCTATTGGGTTTTTATAATAATTAGAACTATTGCCAATTTGGCAATCAATATTATTTGTTAATTCATCAGTCTCAAGAAGCGGATGTGCTGTCTGTATTTTATTAAAATAATTCTCACGATAATGGTAACGTGACACCATCACATTTCTAAGTAAGATATTAGTTATTTTAACAAAATATTGTTTTATAAAATAATTATTTTACTCTATGTGAAATAAATTAAGTTCAAGACTAGAGATATTCACGCAAAGAATACACTAGAGTGTATAATGATAGAGAATTATCTGAGAAGGAAACATGAGAAACAGAGATAAGTAATTGCCCGGAAAAAGCATGGTCTTGAGCCCTTATATATGTGCCACAAAAAAAATATTGGGGATAGTTTGTCAAGAATATTTAATACCTTATTATAGATATATGTAACATTATTTCATCGGCTTGCAGTCCAAATATTATAATTGAGTTTTGACTATTATTTTCTTTATTTAATACCTTTGTGGTACCTCAAAGACGCGAAGAAAACCATTGACTCATCATTACTATATATTATTGCAAAAGCCAAAATTAAATATATTATTGAATTAGCGTATTCTTTTATGTGGTCTAAGAAATACAAGAGATATTGTATTTTTATAATAGTTCTAGACAAAAATATTAAAAAGCCCAACACTGTAGGGACTGTAATTCCAACGCCGTTTGGTCAACAAAATTATCAATAGTGTGGGGGCAGTGGGCTAAAAGTTCTATGCTGCTTATCCCGACACCTATGATTATGTTTATAAGTGGACTGTATAAGGTAAGGGAAGGATCTTCTGACCAAAACGTAAGTACCCTAAATAGAGAGGGTTCGTCTACACTAATCAGGAGAGTGAAATGGCCAGGTAACAATAGATGTTTAAATAAAACTAAAAAAAACTAAAATAAATAATTTGATAATAAAATGCAGTTTTACAGAACTATATTAAAAATAAATAAACAATTACCAACAATAATATTGGTAATTAAATATTTTAACAAAATTTACTATGTTAGAATAATTACACAAAATGAACATAGGAACCTTAAATTTAAAATATCTGTTCTTAAAACAAAACTAAACAAAAATAATATAACAGACACACTGAACTCCAAGTTAACACAAAAATTTCTTATCTCAAAAAAAAAGTTTTACTTAACCTAATGTTACATTGGCAGGGAAAGGAAGGGAAAATAATTGAAATTCAGCTATGTATGTTGAACTGTGAGTAGGTGCTAAAGTTGCGGCTAGAGCGCGACACCTAATTGATGTTAAGCTAAACATTCACCCTCCGTTGAAAGCTCCTGCTTTCAACCACGATCTAGATATTCTTGTTTACTATCTGGTTGGTCTTCATCCTTGGCGTTTGATAGTAGGCATAACTTTACAACAGGTCTTTTCAACATAATTCCATCCGAACAACACCATCTTGACCAAGAAAAACCTCCACTAACCTCATCCATTTCCATATCATGGCTTAGAGTCAATCACTTTGTTCTTTTTTGTAGTTGTGGAAGATATTCTTTTATCCAAAGTCGCCAAAAAAGTTGCATATCTAAATGTACTAATTCGAACCGATGCAACCTATTATGACAAATGTTTGACACGTCCGGTTCAATTGTTGCAATAACTGNATGTACTAATGCAACCTATTATGACAAATGTTTGACACGTCCGGTTCAATTGTTGCAATAACTGAACTACCAATTAAAAAATGACTTGGTGNCCGATGCAACCTATTATGACAAATGTTTGACACGTCCGGTTCAATTGTTGCAATAACTGAACTACCAATTAAAAAATGACTTGGTGTAAGTGCTTCATAATCTGTAAGATTAATTAATACAGCGATTAACGGCCTAGAGTTTAGAATGGCTTCAATTCAACACATCATTGTGGTTAGTTCTTCGAAATTTAATAGAGCGCCTTTGGTGACTTAGTATAAATGTGACTTTGCTGACTTGACTGCTGCTTCCCAAATACCACTAAAATGAGTAGATGACGGAGGGATGAAATCCCACATGATGCCCTTATCAGCTAAGTACTTGTCTACCGATTGTTGACCACTGACTTCGTTAAAATACTTATTCCACATAGCGTCTGCTCCAGTAAAGTTTGTACCATTATCGCTATACAAATTAGCACAAAAACTACGACGTCGCATAAAGCGATGTAGAGCTGAAATGAAACATCAGTTATCAAAAAGCTAACTACCTCAAGATGGACAGCTCGAGCAGCAAAACAAATGAAGAATGAAATATATGATTTAATTGATACCACTTTTGTTTGCTGTAGGCCACAAAAGTCAACAACAGATATACTGAATGGTCGGTCGATAATAAGACGTTGATGAGGTCATGGCGCCATAAATGGAGCAGTAAATTTTGGTTTGAACCGAAAACTTGTGACACTATTATAAACCACATTTTGTACGGTCGATCTACCACGAAGAGGCCAATAAGACTCATGCATATTAGCCAGTAATCCTTGTGGTCCGATATGGTACAACTGTTTATATCAGTATTCAAATAGCATACGAACTACTTTTCCATTTGATGGAAGTATAATGGGATACTTTGAGTTATATGGAATTGTTGAATTTGTAAGCAGACCACCCACACGTATGAGTCCTTTAATATCTACAAATGGTCGCAAAGTTTATAGACGACTCTTCATGGGCACTATTCCTATAGTTTTTAATTCAGAAAGTTCAGATACAAATGCCAATAATTATTGTTGAACAAACACTATCCAATCTATTCGAGCATCACTTAACTCCTTTGCATTTAAATATTGTTCAGTATGTTTTAATACATCACCTGATCGTCTCGAAATGCATGCATTGAATTTAAATCTATTAATCCAGGATCTGACTCTTACCAATTTCATTCATTCCGAATAATTATCTAATAATTCACGTGAAGAAGTTGAAGTTACAAGTGCAAGATTTACAAGTCGTAGTTAAGGCAATTCATCTATTAATTCATTTACAATTGGCCATCTGCTTGAATCCATGAGTAACCATTGCAGTCCATTCCACCATTTAGAATTGTTTGCAAAATCAATGCAAGACAGACCTCTAGAAATTAAATCAACAGGATTGTCATCAATAGGAACATGTCTCCATTGTGATGAACTTGTAGTGTCTAAGATTCTCGCGACACTATTGGATGCAAACGATGTTTTGATCGAGGGAAGAACAATAGATGAGTCTGTCTAAAGTACTATATCATCATCTGTTATTGATATTTCAATTTTATTCAATTCGGTTAATACCTCAGTTAATAATTCAGCCAGTAGTGCAGCGCCGCACAATTTTAGCCTTGGTATAGTTGATTAATGCATAGGCGTAACTCGAGACTTTGAAGTGAAAAGTACTGAGGATCATTTACCTTTGGTTGTCATTACTCAAATATACAAACATGCACCAAATGCATTTTGCAAGGCATTATAGAAACCATATGATTGAATAGATTGTGAAGGTTGATATTGAGCAACTTACTCAAGAGATCAATAGAATACTTCCCATCATAACTAGAGTTCTGTTGTAAGATGTGTGTCCCAATCCAATTTAAGNCCGACAGGTCGTGGGATATTGAATAACGCAACTTACTCAAGAGATCAATAGAATACTTCCCATCATAACTAGAGTTCTGTTGTAAGATGTGTGTCCCAATCCAATTTAAGTGACCACAACTGTTGCATAAAAATTTTGCCTTTATTAGAATAGGTGAAAAAAACCCAATTGGGTCATACACTCTATTCATATCAGACAAAAGAGTACGTTTTGTCATATGTTTAACAGGAACCCATTCTTTCAATGAAAATTTTAATTGATCCAATGCAGGCTGTCATGATAGGTCCAAAGCACTTACAGTACCTTCATTGTTTAAACTCAATAGATAAGTTGGATCACCAATAGACGCAGGAATGTTGTTGAGAATTTCTTAAAAATTTGAACACCATTTTCGGAGAGGCATTCTTGCACCCAA